TTCTTCCGTTATACGCGTTCAATAATTGACAAGTTACAAACTCACAAAATGGCTAAGGGTAAAAAAGTAACTTTGCTATAGAAATTAACGGTGTTAAAGATCTGAGAGTTGACTTGCAACATGAGAGACCATTTTGTCGCATTTCGTAGTACATGAGAGGTATATGCGATACTGTGTGATAGTACAACGGGTGCAAGTTGTATCTAACCCTTTTATTTATGGACAATTTGCTATAGGTCCCTTTATATTAGATTTTATGTGAACAAATTCAAGTCATAAGTCCCAATTTTCTTTTATTTCTCACATGTTTAACAAAAGGTATAATAGACTCTACACATTTTCTGCTAAAAAACCAACAGTTAATCAGAGGGGTTTTTGGGTAATTACGAATAGGTGATGATGGTTTTCATTATTTAGCCTAAGTTCAGGGATATTTCGTAATTTACCCTAAATGATTAACAGAAAAGACTACACATTTTACTATTTTAGTAAATGAATTGCGGCTACACGCAATTTCTATATTCAACCACAACTTTCTTGTCTCCCGCCTCAACAGAAGAATATTTTTTTTTTAAATATTTTTGGGCTGGACAAAATTGTTAGAAAATAAATAAAATAAAATTGGCAAAATCCCAGATGGTTACATCGGGTAATAATTGAATGATACACATTCTTGGAATAATTACTGAGTAACAGCACAATTACCGTCAGCAATATATATCTTTTTCCTCTTACAGGAAAAAAGAAAAATGAAAACAAAAAGTTCTTTATTAGCACACAAGGAAACTAAATTAATAAAGCAAGTTCTTCCCATACTTCAACGTACAAAGATCTGAAAGTTATATAACCCATTGTCTGAAAAATTGTTTCACTAAGCAAATTAAATTAAAACTCACAATACTATAACAAATAAAAAAAAAATAAAAAAAATGGTGTACGATAGGTGAGCTTCGTTCGAGATAGAGGAGGCGGCGGCGGCGGCGGCGGATGACAAGCCATCGGCTCTTCTGCGTCAGGAGCTCAACAAGATGGAGCGGAGCTGGCTGCTCCGGCCGGATGAGCATAAGACGACGACGAAGAAGCATAATACTATATTTCTCTGGATGATCGGCATCATTTTAGCGGCCGGCTTAGCCACCGCATTGATCAGCTCTATGGTAAAGAATTTGCCGCGCCACCGCCACCACCACCAACCCCCCTCCCGCCGGATAATTACACTCTGGCTTTGAACAAGGCCCTCATGTTCTTCAACGCCCAACGCTGTAAGTGAAGAAATATTTTTTGACTATATATTAATTTTGTGATTTTTCAGAAGCTGTGAAATAATGTTACGTGATTATTTAACCCATAATTTTTAATATTTAATCTGTTGGCATAATTCATTAATTTATTTCAGCCCCTAATTTTTATTGGGCCCACATAATTTTTAATATTTAATCTGTTGGTATAATTCATTAATTTATTTCAGCCCCTAATTTTTATTGGGCCCAAATATTTAATAAAAGTAAGCACATTATTTATTACCCAGCCCATATTTGTTACTAGCCTATAATTTCTGTTATGTTATTAACCCAAATTACAGATTCCACCCAATTCTTCTTTTCCTCTTACTTGTTTAAATAACTAGTATTTTTTCCCCGTGCGATGCACGGGATCCAATTTTAAAAGTGAAAAAATATAATCAATTTAACAAATTAAATTTCTATTTTTATGTTTCAGGATTTGGGATACATTGATGAAAAACGGGAGGTTGGAGTATTTTTCACGATTCATCAATTTGATAATTGTTGAAAATATAGTTAGAAAATTAGTAAAAGAAATAAAAAATAAATAATTACAGAAATGTCATTAGGGTTTTTTTAGGTTACCCAACGTTTCTTTCTTTTATATATATATATATATATATATATATATATATATATATATATATATATATATATATATATATATATATATATATATATATCCCTCAGTGTAATAAAAAAACA